TCGAACAAGCCATGATATGGCACAATTTGTTTTAAGAAAAGAGTAGTCATACTTATTGATAGGATACTAACTGTAATAAAACAGATAAATCGTTTAAATTTGTTGGGTCTCTTAGTCCTTTATACTATAACATTGCAATCAAGTCTAGAAGGGTAAGAGAGTTAAGATTCTCATTTATGCAGATCTTATAGAGAACATACATAATTCAGATAACTACCCTTATCATGTTCTTAATCCAATTAACAAGTTTCGCCTTGTATATATTTGTCATGATAAATTACAAAATGAGGCTTAAAAGTAACCGCAATGACCCACTTATACAAGAATTGTAGAACATTGAGATTACCCCAGGCATTGTTGCAATACAGCTTTGCAAGAGACTTTACCTTTTATATTTTCAACATTGACTATATATTTTTAGCTTTACCTTTGCAAGCAGTTTGGTTGAGTGACTGACATTACTTGACTGTATATTGCAGAATGAGTATCCGCAGAAAGGCAAATGCACATATAAGAATAATGTCAAGAAGTGAGCAACATCTATACATGCATAATGCACCGACACTTCAAAAAACCTAACATATCGTGTTCGATACTCCCTGACACTCTGACACTCCAACACGCGTTGCAGAGACTCTAAAAAGGGTTCAAAGGTTGCGTTGCAATTTTTGTTCCAACTATTAGATTCGTTGCATTACGATTATCATTTTATTGAATTTAATATAAATATTTGGGATATCTTATGTTTTTTTGCAAAATTGATGGGTATTAAAAGTTTAGCTTCATTTTTTTTTGTTAAATTATTGAATGTTAAATATAATATACACTACATAAATTAAAAATATTATTTAATATCAAAATGTGTCCTAACGTGTCGAAATCTAAAATTTTTAAGAATTAACGTGTCAAAGTGTCGTGTCCTGTGTCAGTGTCAATGCAACATAGGTATTCACATGCTATATCATGTCAGTGGCCCCAATCAGATATTACACTTTAGCTGATATGCTATCGCTTGCGAAATTGGGGGTTGCTCTTGCAGACTTGTTGCTGAAGATGACGACTAGATGCTGCAGATCGATTAAGAACGATTGGTTGCTGAAGACGATTTCGTGGTTGAGAATGATTTTGGGTTTGAGAATATTTTTGCGGTTGCTACAGATGGTAATAGCTTGGTTGCTGAAGACGATTTGAGGGTTGAGAACGATTTGGGTTGCTCTGGTTTGAGAATAGTCAAATTCATTTGCGAAATTCAGGCTTGATCTCCAACACCGCATTTGACCAGTTTGTGGCATATTAGAATTTTTTTTTTCAAAAATTCATCAAAGGTTAGTTTTGTAAAATTAGCTCACATTCCCAAGAATTATTGACAATCAACCAAACATAGAATCAAGAAACTTGAGACAATATTCCTGAGAATATGTTGGCCACCAAACAACTTTTTAGTAACATTCATGAGAAATTTACTTTCCCAGCATATTCACAGGAATGAAAAAAAATTTCCTCTACCAAAGATTTGCTTAGTGTTTAAGCAAGAACTCATAGTGTGTGTCCTATCATTTTTTTTTTGTAAAATTGTTTCTTTTGTTGTAGAAAAAATTTCTCTGTCAGATTCACATAAACGTGAGTGGGTTCCACTAATCTTTTCATTCTCTTCTCTTTACAATGCAATTCACTTACTTTTATATGAGTGTGATAGAAAAATAAATTTCCAAAAAAAAAAAAACAGAAACATTAAGCTTTTTTTTTCTTGGCACATAATTTTGTACTTTTATGAAATTGTAATAAATATCTCTTATAAATATTCTCATATTAAATTTGTTTGATAGCTAACATGAAGTGATTTTCTTTTTTCATTTTTTTAATTTTAAATTTTTAAGTACCTTAATCAAAATAAAGGAAAAACTCAATATACAATATAAATTCAAACTCTGTGATTTTTTATCAGAAATGTAAGATTACCACCATTACAAGATTCACCCACAAATACTCTAATCAAAATAGAAATTTAAAAAATTTGGAAATACTATTTTCATATTTCGTTCGATCTACACCTTTTCGACATATTCTTAAGCAAGACTGTTGAATTGCAATAACTATCGTGTATTTTTTGGCTCGTTTTTTGTATTTTGTATCGTCTCGAATTGTAAGATACATAAGTATAATAAAAAATAAATTTCAAAATATATATTAAAATATGTGTTTAATTATTTCCTTTGTTAATACAAATTTTTTAAATTGATTTTTGAGTTTAAATTACAAATCAAATCTTTATTTTCGTTTTCATACTAATAATAATTTTCAGATTTTTTTAATTTAAATCATAAATCAAATCTTTATTATTTTTATTTTTTTTGTTAAAAGTTACAAATTTTAATTTAATTTTCATTTCGTATGATACATGATTTGTATCGTATCGTTCGATACAAATTCATTTTTGATACACTCGACGATATATATTACTGTGCTTATGAATCTTATCTTATCGTGTATAGTACGATACTGATAAATATGTTCTTAAGGTTACATACTTTTTTTTTATTAATATTCTATGAATATTTTTTATAGATGTATTTTCAATAATTTAATAAATGAGTAATCATTTCAATAGTTTTGTATATTATTTGATTTCTTTGGGAGAGCTATTTTTGTAATATATTTATAATGAGTTTCACAGATGAGGGTTAATTTCTGAATTAAATTACTTCCATTAAAATCCAAAGTAGGTGATCCTAAATAAACACAATGATAATATCAACCTCAGTCAAGAGCCTTATCTTTTCGATTGGATTTTAGCGTGGTGTGGTGTAGTCTGATTTGGCATATTCATGCAGATAAATTGAGAACTGATTTAGAAAGGGAAAAGTTTGAACGGGAGATGACTGATACTCACTCCATTATATGATGTGATAGGCATTTTGTGGTCATCAGTCATTCTAAACAAGAAAGTTTTGTATTTACATTTTTTACTACACAAAATTTTGTTTTTTAATTAGTTAGAGAAGGAAGTTCACTACTAAAATTTCACATTTTTGAGAATCAAAGTTGCAAATCAAGCAAAACACTTCTATGCGCACTGACGAACAATTTGAGATGGTGGGTACATTTTGCAAGTTTCTGAATAGTGCTTAATTAGACTAGCTGGAGGATGTACACGGAATCTTGGGCTTTAGAAAAGGTACTGAGTTATATAGTACTTTCCTTCTATTGGGCTCCTAGACTCTTGTTTTTCTCCTGGGAAAACGACTTTTGTTGTATTATTTTTTATGAAAATTTGCCAATTGCATCTAGTGTATGTTTTGGTGAAATTTTGTAATTAATTGTAAAAAAATTGATTTTGATTTAAAGTGAATTTGAAATGGAATTATTTATGTTTAGAAGCTTTTATCTTAAAAGTAAATTTGTAATAAAAATTAGAATGGAATTCTTAATACAATGCAAACATTACAATTTTTTTTTTCGTTTGGTAAACGTGTATTTTGGGAACAAACTTAATTTTAATGAAAAACAAGTATGCATAAATTTTTATGCATAATATCTCGTTTTTAGTGTTTGATCATCCCTTGGAGGAATAAACCTTTGGTTATCAAATGTACCTAACTGGGAGCAAACTTTTGGTACCACCGTTCTATGTACGACTTCCATTCAAATTTTGCCACTTGGATTTATTTTTTTCTTTTTTCTTTTTTTCATCTCACTTTCACATTCTCTTTCCATTTTTAATTGGTGTTCTCCACTGAAAAAATGGTATCATGGTTGTACCATAAAAATTTCCCCTAATTGGGTACTTTTTTTTTTCCAAAAGAAGAATTTTTTTCAATATGGCAAGAATTTTTTTTTTCAAAAATAATGAAATTTCTTTCAAATGTAGAAAAAAAGATGTACCGAGTTGGATACAGTTGGAGATACTAAAACCCACATCTAAACATGTAATTAATTGATGTGTAATAAATTTTAGCAACAATAATTTGTTCAACTGCAGGTAGGGGTGTAAATGGGCTTGACCTATTATAAATAGTAAAATAGAACAGACCTAGGCTTTTAAAAATACTTATTTAGAAAATAGGCCATAGGCTTTTTTGTACATGATGAGCCTATAAGCTTACAGACCGGCCTATATCATATTATTTATTTAAAATATAATAAATACAATTATTATTTTAATAATTTTGAATAATAAAATAATATTATTTTAATTATTTTTTTAATTGTTGAATATTTAACGGACTTAAATAGGCTAATAGGCCTAGGCTAAAGCTTTTTATTTTTTAGATATAGGTTAGACCAGACTTGTAATTTTGGGCCTACATAGGCTAATAGGCCAAATATTTTTTACATAGGCTAACCTATTTAAGTCAAAGCCTAGCCCAACCCATTTACACCCCTACTGCAGGATAACTTATATTTCTGATCTATTTACTTGCTTTTAAAAATACTTAAATGTTTATTTTCAAAATTTTAATGGAAAAATACAGTTCATTATATTCATAATGGGTAAAGATAAAGAAGGAAAAAAATGTAAAAAAAATTATTATTTATTAACTTTCTTAGCAATAAACAAAAATGAAAGGATTTCTTTTTTAGGAAGAAGACGTATTCACACCAAAATTTTGGCAATGAGAAAAGCATGACACGTCTTTTTATTACTATTATTTATTTTGGTACTAAAAGTGGTGCTTATTTCTAAACTCATGAATCAGACAATGCTATACTATATTTTCTACGCTTGGAGCTAAACGCACACTAAAAGCATACAAATAGCGAGAGAAGGAAACAACATATTATTCTAGCTGGGATCAGAAAGTTTGCAGTTGGTGGATATAATCTAAATGGAGCTCATAAAAATAAATTTCTAAAACAGAAAAGATAATTAATACTCATTAAGCTTAACTAATCATACGGTTTTCTCAGTACTTGTTACATGCATTTGTCTGGCTAGTGATTGTTACTGATACCAAACTAGAGCATTTATTTTTTATTATCATTCAACACATTGACTGATGTTAAAGCTTAAAAGCTTCCTTTACCCTCCTTCCTTTACCTTCTTGCCGATAAAATTCTTCCATATATTCCTTATACGTGTATTTTCGGTAAATGGGAGGATGCTCCTTATCCGTCAACTCCTCAATGGGCCGAATCACTATTTCATCATTTGGCGCATAGAACATACCTAGTGATAGCCGTGGGAGACACCTGTTGGTCACTGCCCTGTGAACTGGACTCTTATACCTTCCATTACTCAGTACCTGATTTCATCTCAAATCCCAAATTTGATTGTTTGAAAAAAATTGTTACATCAATAACCGAGATCAATCAGATACAAAATCTGTAATTTTTATATGTATAAAAGTGTCTTTGGAAGAATGCAAGATAAAGCTATTTACTTTTATTTTTATCTTCATAAGTCCAGGAGCTTTGTGTATCACGATCGGAATCCGGACTTCTCGTTTATAAGATAGGAAAAGATCAATTAATATTGGCTTAAGAATAATAAGTATTATACTAAATCTTAATTATTAATCTATTTGTAATCAAGACTCAAATTTATTAATTTGATGCAAGTGAGATCAATTATTAAGATTAAAAGTATAATACATGCTCATTAAAATGATCTGCCCCCTATAAAGTATCTTTATATAAACTATTTCTTATCCAAAATGCTAATGAAGCTTGCCTAGTTCATATGAACTAATCATTCATCACAGCTTTTGGACCATTCAAAAGAAAGGGATGTCATTATTACTGGATATTTAATTTTATATATATATATATATATGGCAAAATGATTTCTGCAACTGCTGTACCTACAGCAAGCAAGGATCCGCGTCCGGATCCTAGGATACGGCAACGGATCCTGAGTTTTTTTTTTTCTTTTAAAAAAGCCGTGGGGTCCACTTTTCTGTGTCAGCTGTAGATAACATTATCTGCTGCAGAAATGTTAAGCCATATATATATATATATATATATATATATATATATATATTGAAGATATCAGATGGCAAGTGATTTCTTATAGCTTGTTAAATGTTAGTAATTCATAAAGATCACAACCATTAGATATACCTGCATCTGATCAGCAAGAACGATGACTAAGGCACCAGGAACAGGGCCAACCGCAAACCACTTCCCATCGTACATCACTTGCAAGTCAGAAACTCCATCCAATTGTAGCAGTACAGTGAGTGCAGTGATGTCATTATGTTCATTCAACCCCATTGTGAGTTCTGGTTCTGGACATGGGGGGTAGAAATTTGCTTGAGAATAAAGATTAGGCTTCTCACCCAACCTTCTCACTAAGGAATCCTCTTCTAGCCCAAGCCCTTTGGATATCAACCTCAAAAGCCTATTCATAAGGGTACCCATCTCCCTTGCATATGCAGCAAAGACATCTCTAAATCCAACCAAAGAAGATAAGGAAATTATGACTTATATGGATCACAGCAAAAACTTGAATTTAAGCCCCATATTTGAAAAGAGTACTTCGTACCTATGTTGAGGAGGATTTGTTGGTAAGTGATGGGTGAAATCCTCTGTAGGATGCCAAGGGTGAGAGAAAGTTTCACTCCACATTGTAACTTTCTTTTGGTCATCACTCTTGAAGTAGTAGCTGAAGATTTTGACTGGCTGAGAGTGGTTTTTTGTGAAGAAAATGGCTCTTTCTTCAGGAGGCAGATGAAAGAACTGGAGCAGAGAATCTAACACCCTTTGGCATAGATCTAGTGGGACTCCATGGTTGATCACCTGAAACATTCCCAATTGTTGACATGCTTCTGATACATTTTGCACCAAACCACTCTGGCTTTCATCAAAACCTTTCAGGTCAATGATGGGAACTGAATCAACGAGGGAAACATCTGAAAGGCATGGTCGTTTCTCCTTTGGGAGAATGAAATCAGGAGAAAGGCATAAAGCAGTGTTATTTGCAAACCGAAATGGTTTCTTCACTTCCATTGGTGAATAGCTCATATAACAATGTTTATTTGATCTGACATATTTGGGCTTTAAATAGTAGAAGACTTTGAGTTCAAGATGATTCTCTCCCATAAAAATTGCTAGTTGGCACGTTATTGAATAACATGTTATATCTTGTAACAAAAAAATTTAATAATAAGATATAGTAACTTCTTGGCGTCACATGGCATTCAAGTCAATAAAAATTTCATAGTTTGCACGCGAACTTATGAAATTAAGTACTGAGACTTTAAATAGTAAAAGGATGACTATTTTTTTCATCAGCAATCTTTTTTTTTTTTTTTTGGAGATTCCATTAGCAGTCTTTACTTTGCGTTCAATGTGATTCTCTCCGATAAAAGTTGCCCAGTTGGCACGTTATTGAATAACATGATACACCTTGTAATAATTTTTTTTAATAATAAGATATAGTACCTTCTTGCCTTCAAGTCAATAAAAATTGCCTAGTTTGCACGCGAACGTACGAAATTAACCTATTGAAAATGGGGGAGGGGTAAAACAAGAAATGAAAAAAAAAATAGTAGAGACAAAAAGAGAATAAAAAATGTGACTTTGTGAGAGGTACCACCAAATTTTTGGATGATCCCGATTCTTTGAAAATATTTTGAAATTGTTGTAAATATTTGTTATTTTATTATTATTAGTATTTGTTGTATTGGGCCAAGCCCATTAGGTCAAGTATTAGGGTTTTTATTCTCTATAAATAGAGACCTCTTTGTACAGATTATTTACACAATTCAATAATATTTCAAATACCTTTTTCTTTCAAGTTGGTATCAGAGCACTCGATCCTGAGGGCTCTGCTTCCGCAATTACCGCTTCTCCTTTCCTCCTCTCGTCGCCAATCAGCCGCCACCGGAAATTTTTTCCGGGGACCTTTTTTGGACCGAGAGGACTTGTTTTCAAACCTTTTTTCTCTGATCTATCAGTCTGTGGACCTTTTACAATCAATTGACGGCTGGATCTCTTAAGAACGACTCAAACCCACTACTGTTCATCACTGGAACAGTACTTTCTAGTGACAGTTTGGTCTCCGCTCAGCCACAGAAGGGACCGCCACCTCCGGACCACCTCACGGTGAAAATCCCAGCTCCGGCGGCCGCCGCACGCGCTCCCACGCGCTGCCACACTCCCGGCGAGTGAGGCCCACTTGCAGACACCGCCACCGGTGTGTGGAGGCGCGTGACTGCTTCTTTCCAGCTCCGGTCAACAGTGTTCTGATCGTCTCTTCATCCTCTTTCTGGATCTGTGATTTTTTCTCAGATCGAACGTCGTTTGGTATTTTTTTCGTATTTTTTGGATACTTGGTGCTATTCTTTGACAAGTTTTGTGCAGTATGGCCTCTTCTCAAAGGAGTTCCTTTACCAAGTTTTCTGATGATGCATCTTCTAGAGGAGATGATCGATGGTGTTCTTATTGTAAAAGAACAGGTCATATCAAAGATCTATGCTTTCGCCTCCATGGAAAGCAAACTGTCTTAGAAAAGATGGCAAGGTTGCGTGGTCAAGCGCATTTTACTTCCTCTGAAATAGCTCCTGCACCTAATAAGATCCAACCTGCATTTCGTCCAGATGAGTTGGAACGGCTCCGAACCATTCTTGATTCTATGAGCAAGCCATCTGATACTAGTGCTTTGACTATGACTGGTATGAGCTCCAAAACTTATTCTTTCCTTTCTTCATGTAATGATTTTAAACATTCTTGGGTTGTTGACTCTGGTGCTACTGATCATATGGCTTGTTGTGCTGACTCCTTTACTTCTTATCATCCTACCATTGGAACTCATACAATAGCCGTAGCTGATGGCTCTCATACATCAGTTGCGGGTTCTGGTGACATAAACTTACAACAGTCCTTACATCTTAAGGATGTTCTTCATGTTCCTAAACTCTCCACGAATCTTCTTTCTATTCATAAAATTACAAAAGATTTGAATTGTACTGTAACCTTCTATCCTACCCATTGTGTTTTTCAGGATCTCGCCAGAAGACGATTGGTAGTGCTAAAGAGCAAGGTGGGCTGTACTATCTGCTGTCACAATCTCCTGCAAATAAAGCAACAGATCACATCTTGATGTCTCATGGTCAATCAACTGCTGATTCTTTGATTTGGCTTCATCATAAGCGCTTAGGTCATCCTCCATTTAGTTTACTCAAATCTTTATTTCCGTCATTGTTTTTGTCTAAGTCTGTTGAGTCTTTTCATTGTGATGTTTGTGAATTTGCTAAGCATCATCGTGTGTCTTTTCCTTCTAGTATTACTAAGAGTGTTGAACCTTTTGATCTTATTCATTTTGATGTTTGGGGTCCCTCTAAAGTCCCTCATGCTTCTGGAAATAGATGGTTTGTTTCTTTTATTGATGATTGCACTCGTGTAACTTGGGTGTACTTAATGCATGAAAAGTCTGAGGTACCACAACTGTTCTTTCAATTTTATAAAATGATTTAGACCCAGTTTGGTATAAAAATCAAGAGACTAAGAATAGATAATGGTACTGAATATGTTAATCACAGTTTTTCCCAATTTATAAGAAATAACGGTATGATTCATGAACTTACTTGTGTTGACACCCCCCAACAGAATGGGGTTGCTGAAAGAAAAAAATCGTCACCTTCTTGAAGTGGCTCGTGCATTAATGTTTCAGACACATGTACCCAAATACTATTGGGGAGATGCTATTCTTACTGCAGTAATCTTGATCAACCGTTTACCCACTCGGGTACTTGACCATGTAAGTCCTATTCACTTTATGACTTCTTTTTTTCCTTCTATTCCAACTATGATGAGTCTTCCTCCACGAGTGTTTGGGTGTGTTGCTTTTGTTTATGTTTATAAACATCATCGCAGTAAGTTGGACCCTAGGGCTATTAAATGTGTTTTTCTTGGTTATGTTCCTGATAAGAAGGGCTACAAGTGCTATCACCCTAGTAGTAGGAAATTTTTTGTTTCTATGGATGTTACATTTCAGGAATCTGAGTCCTTTTTCCAAGGTCCTCATCTTCAGGGGGAGAATCCTTCACCAGAAATCTCATCACCTCCCTTCTTTGAGTTTGAATCTTCAGTGTCTACTCCTTTACCTATGTCAGTGTATCCTCCTCTTGGTCCTGTTCCTCTTGTGTCTGTTCCTCCTGTGTCTGATCCTCCTGTGAGTAATCCTCCTGTGACTGATTCTCCTGTGATTGATACATCAAGTACACCAGAGATACAGAAGATTATGACACCTGAAAGAAGGAAACAGCCCACATTGTCTCAGCAGCAACCTCAATCGTCTGAACCACTGGTAAGTCCTGAATCTCATATTTCTGATCATAATGTTAATACTTCTGATGACTTACCCATTACTACTGATTCTGATGATTTACCCATTGCTCTTAGAAAAGAAAAAAGAGCTTGTCCCAAGAAATCTTGTCCCTCATGTCCCTCTTGTACTCAATACCCTATCTCCCATTTTGTTTTCTCTGCTAATCTTTCTGTGCTGCACAAAAGCTTTGTTTCAGCACTAGACTCTATTGCAATCCCAAAATCAGTACATGAAGCCTTGAAAGGTAGGGATTGGGCTCAAGCCATGCAAGAGGAAATGAATGCGTTGGAGAAAAATAAAATATGGGAGGTTATTGATAGACTTAATGGAAAGAAAGCAGTAGGGTGCAGATGGGTTTATACCCTGAAATATAATTCTGATGGAACTCTTGAGAGATACAAGGCTCGATTAGTTGCCAAAGGTTACACTCAAACCTATAGCATTGATTACGAAGAAACATTTGCTCCTGTTGCAAAAATGAATACGGTGAGAGTCTTGTTATCCCTTGCTTCCCATTACAATTGGGATATAAATCAATTTGATGTGAAAAATGCTTTCCTTAATGGTGAGTTAGAAGAAGAAGTCTACATGGAAATCCCGCCTGGTTTTGATTCTGTGAAGGGAGAAAATAAAGTTTGTAGATTAAAAAAGGCCTTGTATGGATTGAAGCAGTCACCTCGTGCCTGGTTTGGAAGGTTTACTAAGGTTATGATGACCTTAGGATATAGACAGAGTCAAGGAGATCACACTCTTTTCTTCAAGCACTCCCATAATAGGAAGCTTACTGTGCTCCTTGTATATGTTGATGACATTATTATCACAGGTGATGATTTTGTGGAGAAACAAATTTTGCAAACACGGCTTGCCTCTGAGTTTGAAGTCAAAGACCTTGGGAAATTGAGATATTTCCTAGGGATAGAAGTAGCTCATTCAAGGAAAGGAATTTTTATTAGCTAGAGGAAATATGTTCTTGATCTTCTCAAAGAAGCAGGAAAGCTCGGGTGTAAACCCTCTAATACTCATATTGAGCAGAATCATAAGATAGGCTATGAAGAAGAGAGTCCTCCAGTTGATAAAGGAAAATATCAACGGCTAGTTGGGAAATTGATATATCTGGCTCATACTAGACCAGACCTAGCTTATGCTGTTAGTGTTGTCAGTCAGTTTATGCACGATCCAAAGGTGAAACACATGCAGACAGTAGAGAGAATTCTGCAGTATCTTAAAGCTACTCCTGGTAAATGATTGTTATTCCGACGTGATGGCAATCTCTCTTTACAAGTTTACACTGATGCTGACTATGCTGGATCCGTGACTGACCGTCGTTCTACCACTGGTTACTGCATGTTTCTTTGCGGTAACTTGGTGACATGGAGAAGTAAGAAACAAGATGTGGTCGCCAGATCAAGTTCAGAAGCTGAATTTCGAGCTATGGCTCAAGGCATTTGTGAGTTACTGTGGCTGAAAATTATACTTGATGATCTCAAAATAAAATGTGAGGGACCTATGAAGCTGCTATGTGACAATAAGTCCGCTATTTGTATAGCTCATAATCCGGTTCAACATGATCGGACTAAATATATTGAGGTCGGCCGCCATTTCATCAAAGAGAAACTTGATAGCGGGTTGATTACCACTCCATACATTCTCACTGGGCGTCAATTAGCTGATCTATTGA